TATGTATATTTATATATATGTATATAAATTTGTATGTAGAAAGGTTTAGACCTTAACGATCAAACGGCTTTGGGGTTTAGGGTATACGGCCTGGGGTTACAGGCTTTGGGGTCCAAAAGTTCCAGGTCTAGATTGAACGTGTAGGAGTCAGAGACCACCTCAGACCCAAAAGACCTTGAGTTGTAGGACCTTCTGGCAAACATACTTTAAATACATATATAGAATCCGAAAACTGAAAAGGTTTTTGGGGCCTACGGCAGAGTTTGGGGTGGTGGGCTCATTTCTGGTCAGCTAGGAGTTATTCATAGGGAGCTTCCAGGGATACTTCGCCTAGCTTTGGGTAGCTGGGAATGAGGAAAAGACAGGAACGTGGAAACTATTATAAAGGGTTATACAGGGACTACTATAAGGATCCATTCCTTCATTCCTAGCCAACAAAGAGTAAGTTAGTTCCTCAAAGTTGCCACCTAGGAAGCTGTTTGACCCTGAGCTTACCAGTCGAAACAACCTGAAGCCAGACAAGGAATTCTAGAAGCGGCCTACATGGAGCTCCATTTAGGGTTTAGGGTTTAGGGGTACCCAGAAAGCCCAACATCCCTTAGTACCCTAAATGAAAATAGGATCCCTAAGATGACTTGAGGTACGTTCCGTCATCTTGGGATATTGGACTTTCTGGGCACGTATGGGGGCGTGTGCCGCGCGCCAGCTCAGCTTGTTAGGTTTTGGATGAAGAGTTGCTGGTGCCTGCTCCATGGCCTCCATGACCTCGACGGACTGACTCGCGAATAGGGTGCCCCTGTCGGCCTTTGCCTGTTGCGATTGGCTGTTGCTTGGCAGACCGTACACATGCAGGCGCGACCGCACTGGTCCAGGCATGCCCTCCGCATAGCGCCACCGAAGCTGTGTAAAGGTGGTGCACGGGAAGCCCGAGTGCGCGGCAGCAGACTCGCCTCGCCGGGCCCTCTCAATCATGTTGGGCAAAGCGCCCGGTGCAGCGAGATCCTGGCCTCTCGCCAGGTCATGCGCCTCAACCCTCACACGCAGGCCAGCCGCTTCTGCTTCTCTTTGGACTGCATCTCCCAGCCGGTCCTCCTTTCCGCAGAAGAAGTGGAGGAAGATCAACATGCTCTGCGCCAGGGGCCTAACCACGGCCTTGCAAGACTGCAACTCCCTTGGCATGCACAATTAAGTCGTAACCCACAAGCCTCCAGGTAACAACCCTACAGAGTCCTGTGATAGTCATAGACGGCTGGAATTTGCGGGTTGAGGTTACAAGATAAAACCTCAAACTCTCACGGTTTGCATACAAGAAAAGGGATACAAACCGGTTGATGATGGCAGAAAAGCGGGCTTCCCTCGCGATGTATTCTCATGATTGTGGGTTTAGGGTACCTCTGCCTTGAGAAAGTCTCAACTAGCTTTATACATGTCTATCAACAACTCAAGAATTTCCTCAATTTCTCAAGAACCCGTCAATCTGAATCCCTGAGCCAGGCGCGGCTTCCGTACTGGGATGCTGGTTAAATTTCAAGGTGACGTCCCTCATTGGTTTAACGTTTGACAAAGATGTTTCCAAGTCAGAATTGTGGTTCTTCTCGCTTTTTATGTTGCACAGATATGTATCCAACAAAGGCTCAGTATACATCCCCCTCCCACTTTCCAACGCCATACGCCGAGCAGCCCACACCGTACCCTGAGAAGGGCGTTGCCGTTGTGCTCTTTGTGTGATGCGTATATGCCTGCGGCAATCCCAAACTTATTCACGCGTAGCTAGGAACCAAGGAAAGGCTCTTGAGGATCAATACAAGGACGGTTCTAGGAGGTTAGACACAGATGCTTGGGGGTGACTTGTCATTTTGATCGGGGGCTTGAAGTTGTGACCATGTCCTTGCGCTATGTATAGCGCCTTCCCCTTTTCAAAACAAAAAACGATCTTGGGAGCACCTACACTCGATGGAGGAAATCCTGCACCACTTTTTATACTCTATATATAAGCCTAGAAGCAGCACTTCGGGAACTTGAGCGGTGCAGGACTTCCTCATCCACCGTAGTTTCAAGGACTTGCTGACAAGAGGAGCATTCACTGAGTTTTAACTTGACATGGACTTCAAGAGTACGAAGGCAACATCATTGCCCAAACCCATAAAAAGAACCCAACAAACTGCTACTCTACATATGCTATTCTACATACTTTGAGTTTTGAGGCTCAGGTACAGCTTTAAGTGGGTTCTGAGGCAACTTTGTGCCGCGAGAAGTGCTGCCTTTTGAGGGCGGACTGACAGGGTGTATTTTAAGTGGGAAAAACCCTCACGCAAAGAATCAGAATCTGCGGGTAGGTAGTGGAGTATTCCATGAGTAGGTGGAGGGGGGTGCGAAATTTCAGCAGTCAGAAATTCCTTAAAACTCAGGTGTGCATATGCATACTAGGTGATCAATCGAATAATGCGTGGTAGAATGCATCAGGACCTTAACATACTCACCATTCGCCTTGCGGTCGTTATTAGTGGAGGGCGGTCCTTATTCACTTTGTATGCTTGCCTAACGCACTGATTACCCAGCTGCTCTGCTGACCAGCCCTCTCCATTAGGGTTCAGGATTTAGGGGTAGAAGCAATTTACAAATCAATATCTGTCCGCTGCACCCCCCGCCGAGAACCTAGCAAAGGTTACTCCAGGTATACTCTGCAGAACTCAGACACCTTATGCTCTACAAATCCAAAAACCGTACACTTGCTAGACCTACATCCTGCTCGGACAGCCTCACGCGCAGCTGCGCCGTAGAGGTATGACCTTGAGATGGAGAATCATGAGTCAGGTTAGAGGTTGCTTGCCCTACCTAGAGGGTCTATGTACCCAATAAGTAAGTACTTGGGATCTGGGTAATAGTAATTATAGTACAGGTTTTGGGTAAGTATATGATTATGAGGTACTTGGACACTTAGGGCTAGTACTGGGTAACACTTTAGGCTTTTGAGCTGTGATGTGTTTCAGCGCAGGGCGCGCTCGAAATAACAGGGTCCCAAGTGTCCAATTACCTGAAGAGTAGGGTTGTGTTTCCCCAGTACTAGGTTATCATCTGAATGGTTTTGGGTAGCCGAAACCCTCTATTTTGGATGCTTAGACCCACGGCGTTGCATAGCGGGCCATAGCAGGAGCACTGTTTTCAGGCAACACTCCAAATCCTAAAACTTCAAGCACCAACATGTGGATCTTCAGGCCTGAGACAACAGCAGCCCACAAGCTAGTTGAGGGTTCCGGGTATTTGATGCACGGTTAGGGTTCAGGGTTGAGGACTAAATGGGATGCATTGGCTCCAGAGTTTAGAGTTTATAAGGCTTAAGGTAGAATTCATGACATAAAAACGCAAGCCGGGATACCCGAAATGGACTGCAATGGCAGTCGTAAGCACAGTGCAAGAACATACTCTTAAGGGTGCGAGGACCCAAATAATAGGGTTTTAGGGCCCAAGAACCACACATATTATCGTATATGGGCTCTAAAACCCTATTAGTTGAGTCCTTGGAACCTTAGGGTACCAGCTTGGCTGCAGGCTCTTGGGAGGCGTTGATGGGTTGTAAGCTTGGTGTGACAAAACAGGTGTCGTCCCAGCGGCCAAATTCGTTCGCCTACATGTGAAGGGATCCCACCGGCGCGATCGCTGACACGGATCATCACCTGAACGTGGGCTTAGGGCTCAGGGGTTAGAAGCTTAGGGTCGCGGTTCGAAGGAATTTTGATTGAAGGTTTTGTTTAGGCTTGGAACATATCGCAACCCTAAACGGCTCTGTAAGAAGGACTAGTAACGGCCGGGATGTTAGGGCTTAAAGTTCCACGTGTTCCCTGCGGTGAGGGGTTTCTGTTGTAGCGCTTGGGGCTTGACAGGGCTCAAGGTTCAGGCTTTGGGGCTTAGGGGTCGGGTCAGCCTAACGTGCGCCCGGAATGTTCCTAAATTTGTTCTGCCATGCTCAAGGACCTCGTGGGGTTGTTGGGCTTCAAGTTCAGGAAACTCAGGGGTTGCAGGGCAGGTTGCATTTGGAAATTTCCCTAAATAGGGGAAACCCCATAGAGACCCCCAAAATACGATAGTCTTTGTTAAATGTGCCCCCACAAAGATACCTGTAATTATGGCAAACCCCCATTTTAAAGTTTGAGGTCAGATCTTACCATGTTTTCAGGCTTAGGCTTCATTCACTCAGAGACGTAGCTTGTAGTGCAGATAAGCCGCGTGAGCGTCGTCACGGCCTCGAGCTTTCAAATAACCCAGTGTAGCCATCATTTCAGACTCTACGGCCCGATGTAGGCATCATTTGTAGATTTTAGGGCTCCATGTAGATATTATTTGCGTACTTGGAGCCCCATGGTTTCATCTATCCTCTATACAGCGCTGTACTATTCGACAAGTACCCTCGGTACTGTTACGACCCTCTGTATGCATCTTCTGCACATGAGCCTCCTACCCGGAAACCAAATCAAACAACATCGTCTTGCAGATGCGACTGTGCAAGAATATAGCAGTGCTTCAAAGTGACCACTGTACTATCCCCGAGGCAGAACTTTGTAGAACTCCCATGTACTCCAAGGGCCCATCTATGAGAAATTCCCATGTAACTGAGGAAACTAGAGCGAGATGCAAGATGCATGACCCACAAATTGGGTTGTGACTCCATCAGTATACTTCCCCCAAACCTCTAGTACAATTCTCAATTATTGGGTGCTTGGACCTTTAGGGTAACACAGCTGAACATTCGAAAAATACCTGTCTTAAACTCCAGCATCGAACGTCTACAAGTTTCCCAGCGCCCGAGGCCCTAAAGTTGGTTTTTGTTCTTTATGAACTCCGTCTGCGCGCCAATGCTTAGGGCCTGAGACTTAATCGTTTGATGGTCTCTAATATTGCTATGACTAATGTGACTATGACGATTGTTATTATCAGTCTTACTAGTATGACGACTCCTACTACTACTACTACTACTACTGCTGCTGCTGCTGCTGCTACTGCTGCTACTACTACTACTACTACTACTCCTGCTGCTGCTGCTGCGACGACGATGATGACGACGACGGCGCAGAAGACTTCTACTAGTACTTTTACTACTAGTACTACTATTACTAGTACAACCACCACCGCCAATGCCGCCGCCGCTGCTACTGCCATAGAAGTTCCCACCGTCATCATGAGCTTAGCCTCATTGCCATGAAAACCTTTGCGGCGAGCACGCAGGTTCTCCAAGCCCCTGGCAGATGAGCACGTGAATGGGCCGGTCCTGGTGATTTACTGTTTAGGGTTTAGGATTGAGGGTTTTGTGTAGATACCCTGACTTACTGCTCAGACCCTTGGGAGAATAAGATCCCCTATAGCACCCCATTCTAACCCCTATAGAAAGCCTCCTTATACTAATCCCGATCTCCGCATAGTAACTTGGGCGATCTAATGGATCCCTGTACTCGTCTGGGTGGCGGCTAGCGGGAACAAACAAGCAAATGGTCGCTCCCCAAAATAAATTTGGGTTCAGGGTATGAGATGGAGGAAAGGACCTCCATAGCGGTGCTAGTAGAACTAATGACAATCAGCCACCCCAGGGCTCCCAGTTACCTGAATAGAACAGTAGGCTACTGGGCTATGTAACTATAGAGTCTATAGAAACCGGAACCCACTCTCCATGTAACTGGAGCCCTGGGGTCATGCCACCTTCGCACCAGTCTTAGGCACCCAAACCCTTTTTGAAATGGGAATTTTGCCTAGGCAGAGCAGCATATACTGCTATACATCCCAAGCTTGTACCCCTGTAAACCTTATATGGGAAGGTTCCATTACTTGGGGGCCTCTGCCTGGGAGCCCACTCATTCTGAATTAGAGTACATGGGAGTTTGTATTGGGGCCCGCAATGCATGGAAGTGCGCACAACACCCAAGAAGCCCTAATGCGGGAGCCCTAAATCCTTGAACCTACATCCTGAACTTCAAAACTCTGGACCTCTGAATCATGGGACCCCAAACCCCGAAACCTTAAACCCGCAAATCCTTGAACCCTGAACTTACACACCCTTAAGCCCTTCCCATAAACCATATAAGCCCCATTTTAGGGTAGGTTTAGGGCCCCACACAAGTGTAAATGCTTTCCACTATGTAAAGACTATATAGAAGCGCAATGCACTAAACGCGCACAAAGATGTTCCAGCCTACCCCAAGCACTACTAGCAGCCTCTGTACCCGTTACGAAAGGGTGAAGGATGGTTCAGGGCCATCATTTATACATAGGAGGTCTTAGGTAAGCGCGAAGAAGTACCCATAATAACAGCCTACCCTAAGGGTCCAAGGATAGGGTTTTAGGGCCTAAGTACCATTAACATTATAATACTTGGGCCTTAAAACCCTATTGTTTGGGCTATATACAAAGTATTGAGATGTTAGGCCTGCAAAGCAGTCCTTGATTTCATCGGGCCCAAAGCTCGACAGCGTCGCCTGAGGCTACTTCTGTAAGAGGGTTTAGGGTTTAGGGTTTAGGGTTTAGGCCCTTAACCCCAAACCCTAAACCCTAAACCCCGAACCCTAAAACCTAAACCCCAAACCCTACAACCTTAATCCTCAACCTTAGACCCTGAATCAAAGAGACCTAGAGGGGGAAGTATAGAGTAGGGTGACCCATAACAGTAGGCAAATAATGGGCAAGTATGGCCCAAACCCTAAACCCTAAAGCCTGAACCTTAAAAAACGACCTCAAACTTCCGAGACCACCAAACCTGCAAAGCCTCAAAAAGCCTGAAACCTGCCTGTAAGGGTCCAAGTACTCCAAAATCAATGGTGCTTAGGGCTTCGGGTTTGGAGCTTTGGGTTTTGGGTTTTGGGCGTCCCCCGAAGCCTATACAACAATTACAACTATTATCACCCATATCCCAGGCACCCGGATAGTCAGTTGTTTGTTACTTGCAGCTTCAGAGCACTTCCTGATCCTGGACCCCACTGAGGGAGCAAAAGAAAAACCACCGAGCCACAAAAAGCAAACCTAAGGCACCCGGAGCAGCCTCTACGACCTCCTATAAAACGTACCAGGTCCCGAGAAGGAAATCTATAGAGGGTTCGTAGCCCTAAAGCCTACACTGCCCTTGCCTTCCCCATAACAACTGATATGGAGCTCTTTGCAAGAGGCAGTAGGTTTTGGGCCCTTTGTGGCGTTACTGTTTGCTGGCGGGGATGTAGCCCTTGTAGCCCTATAGGCATGGAAATTGGCAATTGTAGTGCTATGACCCCAATAATGCAGAATCAACTGGAAAAGAACATGGAACATGAAATGGACTCTGGGATTTTACGAATAGTATAGGCAAAAAAGTTTCTCCAAATTAGGGGTACTTGTCCCTTTTTGGGGTTCCCATAATAAGGGCTATACTCTTTTGGGGCCCATAATGGGGTCCCTTCATTTATGGAATCGAACCTTTGGGAAAGTACCTGAACTTTTTCAGGGCTTGCAACCTTCGGGTGGTGTAGCATTATTCCCACCACGAACCCTATATATACTCTAAACCCTTGACATGTTGCGCCTTGAAGCTGTTCTTCAGCAGCTCTACCATGATGTAGCGCAGGTATCCTGGTATGTAGCCTCGATAGGACCAAGGGCTCAGCCTAGGTAAGGTTTGCCCCAACGGGTTCTTGGGAATGCAAGAGTGGAATGCAGTAGGATGGAAGATAGGTTCATCTAGGAAATTTGATTCCTTCATTTCCTGCAGATTTGGGAAAAGGATTGAATAAGCTGCGAAGACCCCTTTGTTGCACACGTGTGCTGCAGGCCCTGTATTTCAAGCGCATCTGCAAATCATGCAGGGGTTCCTTCAGGCCCCATGCTGCCAAAGGACCTGCCAAGCAGGATCTTTGGTTTCAAACAGGCTGAGCCCGTATTGCTAGCACTCAGAGTATGGATTCTTCAACGCGCTGTGAACTCATAAGTATAGCAATGCCTTGAAGTAGGAATACCAGCTCCTCATCTTCCCCCAACATCACAACCGCCTCCTTGTATACTCCCATGATGATGATGATGACTATGATGATGATGATGATGATGATAGCGATTTTCCATTCTCCCAATGTAACCCCCCATATAACCCGATATAACCCCAATGCAGCCCTACATAACCCAAGGAGTGTAGCCACTTCTGCATCGAGCTTCTGAAGTAGCAGGGCGAATCAGGCTGACAGGCCCCAGTTCCAGCCTGTTCAGGGCTGGATCTGAGACTTTCAGGGGATGACAGGCGCTTGCCAAAGGAGTACGCCCGGTCCTTAATACTACTGCGATGGAGGTTTGGGCATCAACAGTGCTAGGTAAGGTAAAGCCCAAGATCTTACCACGTGTTATCCTGTAGACTCTTATAAGAATCATGATTATGAATGCAACTTGTTTTGGTGATAGACTTACCAAGTCACAACGTGCAGCAGCGTAGGTCCATGCACCATGTGCAGCGATATAGCTAGTGTTTTGTTACGTCCCCCGTGCACTTTCATTCCAATTCTAGGGACTCAGAAGGACACCGCCACTGGCCCCCCCCAAAAAAAAAACACACACACACATATATGAGCCATAGTCTAAAATCCTAAACCCAATCATAGCCCCCTATAAACCCCCCTTTAAGAAGTTCAGGCTATAGCTCACGTGCAGATTGCCTAGCCCTCACCTTAAACCCCCAAACCCTATACACACACATATCCCCCTCTAGACCCCTATATATCCCGTTACAGGGCTCAAGTATTATGGCTGATATGTTGCTTGTCCGAGTCATTTGTGAATTCACGAACCCAAAGGGTTTAGGGTATCGGATTTAGGGTAGGTGTATAGAGGGTTAAGGGTAGGTGCATAGGAGATATTTCAAATTCACTAACCCAAAAGGTTTAGGGTATAGGGTTTAGGATATGCTTTAGGGTACTGCACGCCCAAGGGGGTTCCCATATACCTACTTCAGGGCCCAAGTATATACTACATACTACATGGACCCTTTGTGGAAGGTTATAGATATGGCCCATCGCTAGGCCGAGACCATACCGTTGGGGGGGGTTAGGGTTTAGGGCTTAGGGTTATTTATATATATATATATATATAGATACATATATATAGAGAGAGCTAGATATATAGAGATATATATATATACACATATATATATATAGGAAGGAAGGAAGGAAGGAAGGAAGGAATCGACCTGCGGGCGGCTCCCGCGGCCTCCCACACCCTTCCC